TTGTAATTATTTTGCACTATGGCCTATTTATTGTGTTACCTCCATAACTTGCTACATTTGCACACACTGTATATATATTTTCTAACCCTAACCCTAACCCCATATGTAACTCTGTGTTGCTGTTTTTATCGCACTGCTTTGCTTTATCTTGACCAGGTCGCAGTTGTAAATGAGAACTTGTTCTCAACTGGCTTCTTACCTGGTTAAATAAAGGTTAAATATTTTTTTATTTTTTTATTACAGCGCATAAAAAAAAAATCAGGGCTCATTTGGGACCCACACTAGTACCAGTCAAAAGTTTGGACACACCTACTCATTCAAGGGTTTTTCTTTATTTGGTGGTCCTCTGTAGCTCAGCTGGTAGAGCACGGCGCTTGTAACGCCAAGGTAGTGGGTTCGATCCCCGGGACCACCCATACACAAAACATTTTTTTTTAAATGTATGCACGCATGACTGTAAGTCGCTTTGGATAAAAGCGTCTGCTAAATGGCATATTATTATTACTATTTTCTACATTGTAGAATAATTGTGAAGGTATCAAAACTATGAAATCACACATATGGAATCATGTAGTAACCAAAAAAAGTGTTAAACAAATCAAAATACATTTTATATTTGAGATTCTTCAAATAGCCACCCTTTGCCTTGAAGACATCTTTGCACACTCTTGGCATTTTCTCAACCAGCTTCACCTGGAATGCTTTTCCAACAGTCTTGAAGGAGTTCCCACATATGCTGAGCACTTTTTTGGTTACTACATGATTCCATGTGTGTTATTTCATAGTTTTGATGTCTTCACTATTATTCTACAATGTCGAAAATAGTTAAAATAAAGAAAAACCCTTGAATGAGTAGGTGTCCAAACTTTTGACTGGTACTGTAGATTTGTCCATGTCTGGCCTAAAAGGTTAACCCAACTGGGTACCACCTAAGATAACCGTTTAGAGCCCTGAAGCCCATATGAAACTCAGGTGGAGCACCTGACATCTCACCTGGACATGCTGGCTGGGGAATAAGGTGACATAATCATTACCGTAAAGGCCCAGTGCAGTCGAAAACGTGATTTTCCTGTGTTTTATATACACTGAACAAAAATATTAACGCAACATGCAACAATTTCAAAGATATTACTGAGTTACAGTTCATATAAGGAAATTAGTCAATTGAAATAAATTCATTAGGCCTTAATCTATGGATTTCACACTGGGAATACAGATATGCATCGCGGTTGGTCACAGATACCTTAACAAAAAGGTAGGGGTGTGGATCAGAAAACCAGTCAGTATCTGGCGTGTCCACCATTTGCCTCATGCAGCGCGACACGTCTCCTTCGCATAGAGTTGATCACGCTGTTGATTGTGGCCTGTGGAATGTTGTCCCACTCCTCTTCAATGGCTGTGCGAAGTTGCTGGATATTGGCGGGAACTGGAACACGCTGTCGTTCACGTTGATCCAGAGCATCCCAAACATGCTCAATGGGTGACATGTCCGGTGAGTATGCAGGCCATGGAAGAACTGGGACATTTTCAGCTTCCAGGAATTGTGTACAGATCCTTGCGACATGGGGCTGTGCATTATCATGCTGAAACATGAGGTGATGGCGGCGGATGAATGGCACGACAATGGGCCTCAGGATCTCGTCACGGTATCTCTGAGCATTCAAATTGCCATCAATAAAATACAATTGTGTTTGTTGTCCGTAGCTTATGCCTGCCCATACCATAACCCCACCACCACCATGGGGCACTCTGTTCACAATGTTGACATCAGCAAACCGCTCGCCCACACAACACTGTCTGCCATCTGCCCGGTACAGATGAATCTGTGAAGAGCACACTTCTCCAGCGTGCCAGTGGCCATTGAAGGTGAGCATTTGCCCACTGAAGTTGGTTACGACGCCGAACTGCAGTCAGGTCAAGACCCTGATGAGGACGACTAGCAAACAGATGAATTCTCCCGGTTTCTGAAAGTTTGTGCAGAACATCTTCAGTTGTGTAAACCCACTGTTTCATCAGCAGTCCGGGTGGCTGGTCTCAGACGATCCCGCAGGTGAAGAAGCCGGATGTGGAGGTCCTGGGCTGGCATGGTTACACGTGGGGTCCTTGGCGGGTTACACGTGGTCTGCGGTTGTGAGGCCGGTTGGACGTACTGCCAAATTCTCTAAAACTTATGGTAGAGAAATTAACGTTAAATTATCTGGCAACAGTTCTGGTGGACATTCCTGCAGTCAGCATGCCAATTGCACGTGTAATGGAGCAAACGCAGTCAGGAGACATCAAAAAGAGGAGGTGAGAGTGTAATGGGTTGAAAATAAAGTCACTAAAAACAGACTTTATTATTATTTTTAACCAATTAGGTTTTTTGTCTTAATTAATCTAAATGGTATACTCTAACAACAGACATCTGTGGCATTGAGTTGTGTGACAAAACTGCACATTTTAAAGTGGCCTTTTATTGTTCCCAGCACAAGGTGCAACTGTGTAATGATCATGCTGTTTAATCAGCTTCTTGATATGCCACACCTGTCAGGTGGATGGATTATCTTGGCAAAGGAGAAATGCTCACTAACATGGATGTAAACAAATGTGTGCACAACATTGGAGAGAAATTAGTTTGTTGTGCGTATGGAACATTTCTGGGATCTTTTATTTCAGCTCATGAAACCAACACTTCACATGTTGCGTTTATATTTTTGTTCAGTATAAATTTCCACACTGTGAAATTGTAAAAATGATAAATGCCCTTTTAGTGCAAGAGCTGTTTGAAAAGATCGGCTGAAATTTCAGCCTGTTTTGGTGAGATGGAGTTTTGGCCTGCCTGATGACATCACCAGGTGGTAAATTAGTTAATAGACCAATAAGAAATAGAGTTCCAAACCTCTCTGCCAATAACAGCTAGTTTTCAATTTTCGCCTTTACTAATAAGCAAGAAGCTATTTTTGTTTATTTTGACCGTTTTAATTGAAAACAATAACAGTAAGGTGTATAGGTCTACCTAATTGTTACCCAGAAATGATTTGACAGCTGGATTGCACCTTTAATTACCAATGGTTTCAGAGATGTGACCATGACGTTTAAGTTTAAACTCCAGGGGTGCGTCCCAAATGACACCCTATTCCCTATGTAGTGCACTACTTTAGACCAGAGAATGGCACCCTATTCCCTATGTAGTGCACTACTTTAGACCAGAGAATGGCAGCCTATTCCCTAGATAGGGCACTACTTTAGACCAGAGCCCTATGACACCCTATTCCCTATATAGTGCACTACTTTAGACCAGAGAATGGCACCCTATTCCCTATATAGTGCACTACTTTAGACCAGAGAATGGCACCCTATTCCCTATATAGTGCACTACTTTAGACCAGAGAATGGCACCCTATTCCCTATATAGTGCACTACTTTAGACCAGAGAATGGCAGCCTATTCCCTCTATAGTGCACTACTTTAGAACCAGAGAATGGCAGCCTATTCCCTATATAGTGCACTACTTTAGACCAGAGAATGGCACCCTATTCCCTATATAGTGCACTACTTTAGACCAGAGAATGGCACCCTATTCCCTATATAGTGCACTACTTTAGACCAGAGAATGGCACCCTATTCCCTATATAGTGCACTACTTTAGACCAGAGAATGGCAGCCTATTCCCTATATAGTGCACTACTTTAGACCAGAGAATGGCACCCTATTCCCTATATAGTGCACTACTTTAGACCAGAGAATGGCACCCTATTCCCTATATAGTGCACTACATTAGACCAGAGAATGGCACCCTATTCCCTATGTAGGGCACTACTTTAGACCAGAGAATGGCACCCTATTCCCTATGTAGTGCACTACTTTAGACCAGAGCCCTATGACACCCTATTCCCTATATAGTACACTACCTTACCAGGGCCCTATGACACCCTATTCCCTATGTAGTGCACTACTTTAGACCAGAGCCCTATGACACCCTATTCCCTATATAGTACACTACCTTACCAGGGCCCTATGACACCCTATTCCCTATGTAGTACACTACCTTACCAGAGCCCTATGGCACCCTATTCCCTATATAGTACACTACCTGAAAACACAGAACTGAAAATACAGTACTCGGCACCTCAAAATGATCAAACATAATAAAATAAAATGATAATCATCAAATGTGATTTTATTTTTATATTTTTTTCTGCAGAAAGATAACAGTTTCATTAAAGAGTCCATCTGGCAGAAGACAACAGGTTAAAGAGTCCATCTGGCAGAAGACAACAGATTAAAGAGTCCATCTGGCAGAAGACAACAGATTAAAGAGTCCATCTGGCAGAAGACAACAGATTAAAGAGTCCATCTGGCAGAAGACAACAGATTAAAGAGTCCATCTGGCAGAAGATAACAGGTTAAAGAGTCCATCTGGCAGAAGATAACAGGTTAAAGAGTCCATCTGGCAGAAGATAACAGGTTAAAGAGTCCATCTGGCAGAAGACAACAGGTTAAAGAGTCCATCTGGCAGAAGACAACAGGTTAAAGAGTCCATCTGGCAGAAGATAACAGGTTAAAGAGTCCATCTCTTTATATCCATCTCTTTTATATAGCTGATCCTGGGCTAAAAGGTAAGTGGGGGGTTTCTACCGATACAGGGCCAGCTATGGGTGATGATAAAGGACTGTTAGAAGGGTGGACAATGGGTGATAATGCACTAGAGTTAGAGTTGTGACCTATAGGACTAGCAGGGTGACCTATAGGACTAGCAGGGTGACCTATAGGACTAGCAGGGTGACCTATAGGACTAGAAGAGTGACCTATAGGACTAGCACGGTGACCTATAGGACTAGCAGAGTGACCTATAGGACTAGCAGAGTGACCTATAGGCGATATAGGACTAGCAGAGTGACCTATAGGCGATATAGGACTAGCAGAGTGACCTATAGGACTAGCAGAGTGACCTATAGGCGATATAGGACTAGCAGACGAGTGGACCATATGGACGAGAGTGACCTATAGGCGATATAGGACTAGCAGAGTGACCTATAGCGATATAGGACTAGCAGGTGACCTATAGGCGATATAGGACTAGCAGAGTGACCTATAGGCGATATAGGACTAGCAGAGTGACCTATAGGCGATATAGGACTAGCAGGGTGACCTATAGGCGATATAGGACTAGCAGAGTGACCTATAGGCGATATAGGACTAGCAGGGTGACTATAGCGATATAGGACTAGCAGGTGACCTATAGGCGATATAGGACTAGCAGGGTGACCTATAGGACTAGCAGGGTGACCTATAGGACTAGCAGGGTGACCTATAGGCGATATAGGACTAGCAGGGTGACCTATAGGCGATATAGGACTAGCAGAGTGACCTATAGGACTAGCAGAGTGACCTATAGGACTAGCAGGGTGACCTATAGGCGATATAGGACTAGCAGGGTGACCTATAGGACTAGCAGGGTGACCTATAGGCGATATAGGACTAGCAGAGTGGTAGTCTGTGAATGATACAGAACTAGTAGAGTGGGTCGCTGTAGGTGAAACGGGGCTGTTGGTGTTGAAGTTAGTCTCTCCCTCAGAGGACCAAGGAGTCGGTGTGGTCTCTCTGGGCGGCCTGGCTTTCTGCATGCGGTTAGGGTCCGGGTTCAGGTTGGGGGTAAAGGTCAGGTTAGGCTGCGTGATATGTTCCAAGTCCTGTAGGATGGTTGCTAGGTGACGGGAGTCGGAGGCTGCGCCCCCAGGGTCACAGCTGTGGTTGACCTGGGGGCGAACAAGACCGCCACCGTCTGCGTTCTGGGTACGATCCACCGCATTTGCGTCAGTGTTTGTGTTCAGAACGCGGTCCTTGACGTCTATAGAAACGTCAACTACACAGTCGTCATCGACATCCGTTTTATGGTCGATTACATCATTGTGGTCAATGTCCGAGTTGTGGTCCGAAACGGTCAAAGAACGGTCGAGAATATCGACCGGTAAATCACTGATATCGACCCCCATGTCCAGGTTGTGGTCGCCTAGTGGAAGACCGGGCACGGTCAGAGCACGGTCAGATAAATCCAGGGCGCGATCATCTTCCAGTGTGGTTGTTTGGACTGTATGTTTGTTGTCGCTGTCGCTGTCTATGGTAATGACCACGGGAGAGTGTTGGAGGCGTTGTTTCCTCCGGCCATTGCGTTTGTGTTGCGGTCGTAAAGGGCTAGCAGCGTTCACGGTCCTCCCTTCATAGAGGATTTCAATGCTGGGGCTGCGGGACTGACGCCTTCTCTTCTTCACACTGGGGACGGATGGACACACACAGACAGACACACACACACACACACACACACACAGACAGACACACACACACACAGACAGACACACAGACAGATACACAGACAGACAGACACACACACACACACACACACAGACAGACACACACACACACACACAGACAGACACACACACAGACAGACAGACACACAGACAGAAAGACACACAGAGTTAGAAATGACATACCTAGTGAGAATACACTATAGGATTAGAAATCAACAGTGGCAGTATCCCAAATGTCACCCTATCCCCTCAAACTACCCTCTGGACCTCCAAGCCAGTTCCACTGTGTTTTTTAATTGTTCCCCTCTAAAAATCAGGGACTGATTTACAGTGCCTTGCAAAATTATTCATCCCCCTTGGCGTTTTTCCTATTTTGTTGCATTACAACCTGTAAGTTAAATGGATTTTTATTTGGATTTCATGTAATGGACATACACAAAATAGTCCAAATTGCTGAAGTGAAATGAAAAAAATAACTTGTTTAAAAAAATTCAAATAAATAATGGAAAAGTGGTGCGTGCATATGTATTCACCCCCTTTGCTATGAAGCCCCTTAATAAGACCTGGTGCAACCAATGACCTTCATAAGTCACATAATTAGTTAAATAAAGTCCACCTGTTTGCAATCTAAGTGTCACATGATCTCAGTATATATACACCTGTTCTGAAAGGTCCCAGAGTCTGCAACACCACTAAGCAAGGGGCACCATGAAGCAAGTGGCACCATGAAGACCAAGAAGCTCTCCAAACAGGTCAGGGACAAAGTTGTGGAGAAGTACAGATCAGGGTTGGGTTATAAAAAAATATCAGAAACTTTTAACATCCCACGGAGCACCATTAAATCCATTATTAAAAAATTGAAAGAATATGGCACCACAACAAACTTAGGTCATTAATCAGAGAGGCAACAAAGAGACCAAAGATAACCCTGAAGGATCTGCAAAGCTCCACAGCGGAGTTTGGAGTATCTGTCCATAGGACCACTTTAAGCCAAACACTCCACAGAGCTGGGATTTACGGAAGAGTGGCCAGAAAAAAGACATTGCTTAAAGAAAAAAATAAGCAAACATGTTTGGTGTTCACCAAAAGGCATGTGGGAGACTCCCCAAACATACTCTGGTCAGATGAGACTAAAATTGAGCTTTTAAAATTGAGCTTTTTGGCCATCAAGGAAAACGCTATGTCTGGTGCAAACCCAACACCTCTCATCACCCCAATAACACCATCCCCACAGTGAAGCATGGTGGTGGCAGCATCAGGCTGTGGGGATGTTTTTCATCGGCAAGGACTGGGAAACTGGTCAGAATTGAAGGAATGATGGATGGCGCTAAATACAGGGAAATTCTTGAGGGGAACCTGTTTCAGTCTTCCAGAGATTTGAGACTGGGACAGAGGTTCACCTTCCAGCAGGACAATGACCCTAAGCATACTGCTAAAGCAACACTCGAGTGGTTTAAGGGGTAACATTTAAATGTCTTGGAATGGCCTAGTCAAAGCCCAGACCTCAATCCAATTGAGGATCTGTGGTATGACTTAAAGATTGCTGTACACCAGCAGAACCCATCCAACTTGAAGGAGCTGGAGCAGTTTTGCTTTGAAGAATGGGCAGCAATCCCAGTGGCTAGATGTTCCAAGCTTATAGAGACATACCCCAAGAGACTTTCAGCTGTATTTGCTGCAAAAGGTGGCTCTACAAAGTATTGACTTTGGGGGGGGGGGGGGGGGTGAATAGTTATGAGCGCTCAAATTGTCTTATTTCTTGTTTGTTTCACAATAAAACATATTTTGCATCTTCAAAGTGGTAGGCATGTTGTGTAAATCAAATGATACAACCCCCCCCCCCCCCAAAAAAAAACATTTTAATTCCAGGTTGTAAGGCAACAAAAAAGAAAAATATCATTATTAGGTAGAACAGAAAACCAGCAGGCTCCGGACCTCGTAGGGTCAGAGTTGAATACCCCTGCCCTATATAGTGCACATAGGGCTCTGGTCTAAAGTAGTGCACTATATAAGGAATAAGGTAACATTTGGGACTCACCCAGTATGTTATGGTATAGACTAGCCCCTCTCCAAGCCCCAGTCCTCCTCACCTCTCTTCCAGACCGCCTCTGCACTTCCTGGGGCTAGCGGTGGCTTCTGCTCCCCGTCCCCTCTTCTCTCTCTCTCCGCCTCTCCCCCTCTCTCCCCCTCTCCCCCGCTCTCTCCTTGCGGAGCTGGATGGCTCCCAGGAAGGGTCTTCCAGATGCCGCGTTTTATACTTCCTCTTCCCTCCTGGCTTGTCGGAGCGTTGGGAACGCCGGGAATGTTGTCTGTCTGCAGAGAGATGGGACAGGGAGCTGGAGGAAGAGAGGCTGTCGGAGGACCGGGAACGCCGGTGTTCCCCAGGAGATTCTGGTCCTCGCTGGCTACTCCAGGATAAGGACGGGGAATGGGATAGGACGCTGTATTCCGGACTAACGACTATTCCTGCGTGAGAATATTTGGACCTGGCTGGTTCATATGGAATCCTTTCTCTCGCTCGGTCTCTACCTCTGCTTCTCTCCCTCTCTCTCTCTCCACTGGTCTGCCTCTCCCTCTCCCTCTCCCTCTCCCTCTCTCCACTGGTCTGCCTCTCCCTCTCCCTCTCCCTCTCCCTCTCTCCACTGGTCTGTCTCTCCCTCCTGCGCTGTCTGCTGTGTTGTCTATAGGAGACTCTGTAGTGGGAAGTTTTGTCTCTTCTTTTTCCCTTCTCTTTTCTCCTTTTCTCCCGCTCTCTCGCCCGTCTCTTCCGGTGGCGTTCCTGGCTGCTGTCATCGCTCCGTACGGACACGGCGCTCCATGCCGACCAGCTCCGTTCAGAACTCCTGGACCGACGGGACCGTGACCAGACGCTCGCTGACCGCTGTCTGCTTCTAGACCTCTCTCGGGGTCTGCCCTCCCTTCTCTCCACTAGAGGGCAATAGAGGAGTCTCTCTTCTACCCGCTCTCTCTCTCTGTCTAGATGTTTTAGTCCCACTCCGCTCTCCCTCTCCCCCACTCCGCTCTCCCCCAGTCCCCTCTCCATCTCCCCCACTCCGCTCTCCCCCAGTCCCTTCTCCCTCTCCCCCAGTCCCTCCTCCCTCTCCCCCAGTCCCTTCTCCCTCTCCCCCACTCCGCCCTCCCCCAGTCCCCTCTCCCCCTCTCCTCCCTGTCTCTCTGTGCTGGTGTTTTTAAACTGAGGAGAGATAGCGAGAGAGAGAGGGGGTAGTGCTGGAAGTGGAAGAGTCTCTTTCTCCTCTTCATCTGAGGGGTCAGAGGAGAGTTGGACCAGTTCAGGAGTTCTCTCAGCCATGGCTTTAACAAACCCCACGATCATACACTGTTCTCCCTCCTCCTCCTCCTCCTCATCTCCTGCCGCTGTCACGTCCTGAGCAGGATGCTGATTGGCTCCCACTGGACCAGAGTCCCGCCCCCCAGGGCTGATCGACAGCGGCATGGGGGAATGGGACGGCTCAGCTGTAGAGTAGGAGGGTCCTGGTGTTTCATCGTCCCAAGCGGATTGGCTCAGAGCGCTACTTCCTGCTACCGACACCGGCCGTCTCTCCCGTCCTCCCATCGACCCTCCTTCCTCTTCCTGGAGAGACAGAGAGACAGACAGACTCCTGAGGGGAAATATACTCCTATTCGTCCTCAAATCAAATGCACAGGATACAGCGCAGTGTAGACAGGATACAGCATAGTGTAGACAGGATACAGCGTAGTGTAGACAGGATACAGCATAGTGTAGACAGGATACAGCATAGTGTATACAGGATACAGCATAGTGTAGACAGGATACAGCATAGTGTAGACAGGATACAGCATAGTGTAGACAGGATACAGCATAGTGTAGACAGGATACAGCGTAGTGTAGACAGGATACAGCATAGTGTAGACAGGATACAGCATAGTGTAGACAGGATACAGCATAGTGTAGACAGGATACAGCATAGTGTAGACAGGATACAGCATAGTGTAGACAGGATACAGATAGTGTAGACAGATACAGCATAGTGTAGACAGGATACAGCATAGTGTAGACAGGATACAGCATAGTGTAGACAGGATACAGCATATGTAGACAGGATACAGCATAGTGTAGACAGGATACAGCATAGTGTAGACAGGATACAGCATAGTGTAGACGGGATACAGCGTAGGGTAGACAGGATACAGCATAGTGTAGACAGGATACAGCATGTGTAGACAGGATACAGCATAGTGTAGACAGGATACAGCATAGTGTAGACAGGATACAGCATAGTGTAGACAGGATACAGCATAGTGTAGACAGGATACAGCATAGTGTAGACAGGATACAGCATAGTGTAGACAGGATACAGCATAGTGTAGACAGGATACAGCATAGTGTAGACAGGATACAGCATAGTGTAGACAGGATACAGCTAGTGTAGACAGGATACAGCATAGTGTAGACAGGATACAGCATAGTGTAGACCGGATACAGCATAGTGTAGACAGGATACAGCATAGTGTAGACAGGATACAGCGTAGTGTAGACAGGATACAGCGTAGGTGTAGACAGGATACAGCATAGTGTAGACAGGATACAGCATAGTGTAGACAGGATACAGCATAGTGTAGACAGGATACAGCATAGTGTAGACAGGATACAGCGTAGTGTAGACAGGATACAGCATAGTGTAGACAGGATACAGCGTAGTGTAGACAGGATACAGCGTAGTGTAGACAGGATACAGCGTAGTGTAGACAGGATACAGCGCAGTGTAGACAGGATACAGCATAGTGTAGACAGGATACAGCGTAGTGTAGACAGGATACAGCGTAGTGTAGACAGGATACAGCGTAGTGTAGACAGGATACAGCATAGTGTAGACAGGATACAGCGTAGTGTAGACAGGATACAGCATAGTGTAGACAGGATACAGCATAGTGTAGACAGGATACAGCGTAGTGTAGACAGGATACAGCATAGTGTAGACAGGATACAGCGTAGTGTAGACAGGATACAGCATAGTGTATACAGGATACAGCGTAGTGTAGACAGGATACAGCGTAGTGTAGACAGGATACAGCATAGTGTAGACAGGATACAGCATAGTGTAGACAGGATACAGCGTAGTGTAGACAGGATACCAGCATAGTGTAGACAGGATACAGCGTAGTGTAGACAGGATACAGCATAGTGTAGACAGGATACAGCATAGTGTAGACAGGATACAGCATAGTGTAGACAGGATACAGCGTAGTGTAGACAGGATACAGCATAGTGTATACAGGATACAGCATAGTGTAGACAGGATACAGCGTAGTGTAGACAGGATACAGCATAGTGTAGACAGGATACAGCGTAGTGTAGACAGGATACAGCATAGTGTAGACAGGATACAGCATAGTGTAGACAGGATACAGCGTAGTGTAGACAGGATACAGCATAGTGTAGACAGGATACAGCGTAGTGTAGACAGGATACAGCATAGTGTAGACAGGATACAGCGTAGTGTAGACAGGATACAGCATAGTGTAGACAGGATACAGCGTAGTGTAGACAGGATACAGCATAGTGTAGACAGGATACAGCATAGTGTAGACAGGATACAGCATAGTGTAGACAGGATACAGCATAGTGTAGACAGGATACAGCATAGTGTAGACAGGATACAGCATAGTGTAGACAGGATACAGCATAGTGTAGACAGGATACAGCGTAGTGTAGACAGGATACAGCATAGTGTAGACAGGATACAGCGTAGTGTAGACAGGATACAGCGTAGTGTAGACAGGATACAGCATAGTGTAGACAGGATACAGCGTAGTGTAGATAGGATACAGCGTAGTGTAGACAGTACAATGACATGCTTACTCACCAACTCTTCTCTCAGCAACTATTTAAAAAGTATTCAGTAAGAAGTAGCAATAAAAAAAAAATATATAAAACCTCTTCATCCGAGATGGCGATGACGGAGTCATCAGTGTCGCTAGATGATGTCATCCTGTCCTCGTAGGACGGCGCTGGAGGGTCGTAGATGGCCAGCTGGTCATACGCTTCCAAACTGAGAGGGGAACGGGCAAAACTGATCTGGGGGGAGAGACACGAGGGTTAGTGGGGGGGGGGGGGGGGGTGGCGGGTGTGAGTTAGTGCATGTGGTTTAGGGAGAGGGTGCTCACCAGCTCGTGGAGGAAGTGATCAGTCCTCGCCAGCAGGAAGGGACGGAGCTCGTCCTGGATGGCCCCGCCCCCTCCCTCCATGTCGTGACGTGTGATTCGCGAGGTGATGATGCGTTGGACGATGTTGACCAATGAGCCGTGGGCGCCGTACAGCACCGTCAGCTCCCGCTGTAACCAGGGTTACAGGTCAAGGGTTACAGGTCAAGGGTTAGCGGTCAAAGTTTCAATTAATCAAATATGCAAACTGCAAACACGCTCTGAGAGACTTGATACCAGCGGCAGTAAAATACATTTGATTGCAAAGCTTACTGGCCTACACCTAGGGCCCTATAAAATCACCCTACACCTAGGGCCCTATAAAATCACCCTACACCTAGGGCCCTATGAAATCACCCTACACCTAGGGCCCTATAAAATCACCCTACACCTAGGGCCCTATAAAATCACCCTACACCTAGGGCCCTATAAAATCACCCTACACCTAGGGCCCTATAAAATCACCCTACACCTAGGGCCCTATGAAATCACCCTACACCTAGGGCCCTATAAAATCACCCTACACCTAGGGCCCTATGAATCACCCTACACCTAGGGCCCTATAAAATCACCCTACACCTAGGGCCCTATAAAATCACCCTACACCTAGGGCCCTATAAAATCACCCTACACCTAGGGCCCTATAAAATCACCCTACACCTAGGGCCCTATAAAATCACCCTACACCTAGGGCCCTATGAAATCACCCTACACCTGGGGCCCTATAAAATCACCCTACACCTAGGGCCCTTTAAAGATCACCCTACACCTAGGGCCCTATAAAATCACCCTACACCTAGGGCCCTATAAAATCACCCTACACCTAGGGCCCTATAAAATCACCCTACACCTAGGACCCTATAAAATCACCCTACACCTAGGGCCCTATGAAATCACCCTACACCTGGGGCCCTATAAAGATCACCCTACACCTGGGGCCCTATAAAATCACCCTACACCTAGGGCCCTATAAAATCACCCTACACCTAGGGCCCTATAAAATCACCCTACACCTAGGGCCCTATAAAATCACCCTACACCTAGGGCCCTATGAAATCACCCTACACCTAGGGCCCTATAAAATCACCCTACACCTAGGGCCCTATAAAATCACCCTACACCTAGGGCCCTATGAAATCACCCTACACCTAGGGCCCTATGAAATCACCCTACACCTAGGGCCCTATAAAATCACCCTACACCTAGGGCCCTATGAAATCAGAGATGCAGCGAACACGGACGGAATCACGGAATCCAGACATTAAAACGGAATTCTACAATATTATATATTTTTTTTTACTTAGTAGGGAATCAACTAACTGTATTGAACTTAGTAGGGAATCAACTAACTGTATTGAACTTAGTAGGGAATCAACTAACTGTATTGAACTTAGTAGGGAATCAACTAACTGTATTGAACTTAGTAGGGAATCAACTAACTGTATTGAACTTAGTAGGGAATCAACTAACTGTATTGAAAATGTATTTGCCCAAGTTGATCATAAGCCATGAACAGAATGCATCAGTGATTCATATTTCCTGAATCTTTCTGAAGAGGAGAATTCCTCCTGTACGTATGAGCGGTGCACGTGTCCACCACTTTGTGTAACCGTTTGCTATGACGCTAATGAAAAATATTCTGGTAATGGAAAGGCTTTCCCAAAAACCTTCTCAATTAAATATCAACTACAAAGTAGCCTGTCAGAATGATATCATGATTATTCGCATCAATCCCGTGGGTATTTGTTTTGCAAACCATCACCTGTGCTACAAAAACATCACTAAAGCGGCTCTTGCTAGAGGTGCACTGGAATTAAAAAGGTAACTACTAGAAATCTAAATTTCCCAAGACCTCAAAAGTGGTCTCCTGATGTGGTTTAAGCATTTTTGTATTCATACCCCTTTACCTTTTCCACATTTTGTTACGTTACAGCCTTATTCTAAAATTAATCAAATTATTTTTCCCCCCTCATCAATCTACACACAATACCACCTTAATGACAAAGCAGAAACAGATGTATACATTTTTGCAAATGATTACAATTAAAAAAACAGGAATACGTTATTTACATAAGTATTCAGACCCTTTACTATGAATCTTGAAATTGAGCTCAGGTGCATCCTGTTTCCATTGATCATCCTTGAGATGTTTCTTCAAATGTATTGGAGTCCACCTGTGGTAAATTCAATTGATTGGACATGATTTGGAAAGGCACACACCTGTCTATACAAGGTTCCCACAGTTGACAGTGCATGTCAGAGCAAAAAACCAAGCCATAAGGTTGAAGGAATTGTCCGTAGAGCTCCGAGACAGGATTGTGTCGAGGCACAGATCTGGGGAAGGGTACCAAAACATTTCTGCAGCATTGAAGGTCCCCAAGAACACAGTGGCCTCCATCATTCTTAAATGGAAGAAGTTTGGAACCACCAAGACTCTTCCTAGAGCTGGCCGCCCGGCCAAACTGAGCGATCGGGGGAGAAGGGCCTTGGTCAGGGAGGTGACCAAGAACCTGATGGTCACTCTGACAGAGCTCCAGAGTTCCTCTGTGGAGATGGGGAGAACCTTCCAGAAGGACAACCATCTCTGCAGCACTCCACCAATCAGGCCTTTATGGTAGAGTGGCCAGATGGAAGCCACTCCTCAGTAAAAGGCACATGACAGCCCACTTGGAGTTTGCCAAAAGGCTCCTAAAGGACTCTTAGACCATGAGAAACAACATTCTCTGGTCTGATGAAACCATGATTGAACTCTTTGGCCTGAATGCCAAGCGTCACTTCTAGAGGAAACCTCTTGGCACCATCCCTACGGTGAAGCATGGTGGTGGCAGCATCATGCTGTGGGGATGTTTTCCAGCGACAGGGACTGGAAGACTAGTCAGGATCGAGGGAAAGATGAACGGCGCAAAGTACAGAGAGATCCTTGATGAAAACCTGCTCCAGAGCGCTCAGGACCTCAAACTGGGGCGAAGGTTCACCTTCCAACAGGACAACGACCCTAAGCACACAGCCAAGACAACGCAGGAGTGGCTTCGGGACAAGTCTCTGAATGTCCTTGAGTGGCCCAGCCAGAGCCCGGACTTGAACCCGATCAAACATCTCTGGAGAGACCTGAAAATAGCTGTGCAGCGACGCTCCCCATCCAACCTGACAGAGCTTGAGAGGATCTGCAGAGAAGAATGGGAGAAACTCCCCAAATACAGGTGTGCCAAGCTTGTAGCGTCATACCCAAGAAGACTCAAGGCTGTAATCGCTGCCAAAGGTGCTTCAACAAAGTACTGAGTAAAGGGTCTGAATACTTATGTAAATGTATTATTTCAGTATTTTGTCTTTAATAAATGTGCAAACAGTTCCAAAAACCTGTTTTTGCTTTGTCATTATGGGGTATCGTGTGTAGATTTGAGGGGAAAAAAACTATTTAATCAATTTTAGAATAAGGCTGTAAACGTAACAAAATGTGGAGAAGTTCAAGGGGTCTGAATACTTTCCGGATGCACTGCAAGTAGAAACAGCATCCATCTGTAACCACACACACCTGTAACCAGGGGAGGAGTCTATGGAGACCTGCCGGGTTCCGCTGGTAAAATGCCGCCGTGATGTCACGGGGCCTCTCGCCACTGCCGCGACCGTTCCTGACACGTACGCCACTGCGGTAGAGAGCCCGGCGGAAGGAGAGCATCTCCCGTGGTCGGAGCAGTCTTGCGGAGCGCCCCTCTCTCTGGGACCGGCGCCTAGCAGCCAGCCGCACCATGAGGCGCTGTACCCCTCGGTCGTGAGGGGGGGGTGCGGCCACACCAGTCAGCCCTTCAAAGATCACCCCCGGGTCCTCTCCATCCATCTCTCCTGAGAGGGAAGTGGGACAGGGGGAGAGGGGAGAGAGGGAGAGGGGAGAGAGGGACAGAGGGACAGAGAGAGAGAGGGGGGAGAGGGACCAGAGAGAGAGAGGGGGAGAGGGAGAAAGGGGACAGAGAGAGAGAGGGGGGAGAGGAGGGGAGAACGGGACATGAGAGGAGAGAGGGACATAGAGAGAGAGGGGGGGAGAGTACGAGGACAGAGGGACAGAGAGAGAGAGAAAGGGGAGGAGAGAGAGAGGGGAGAGGAGGGACAGAGAGAGAGAGAAAGGGGGTAGAGGGACAGAGAGAGAGGGGAGAGAGGGAAAGAGAGAGAGAGAGAGAGAAAGGGGGAGAGGGACAGAGAAGAGAGGGGGAGAGAGGGACAGAGAGGGAGGGGAGAGAGAAAGGGGGAGAGGGACAGAGAGAGAGGGGAGAGAGGGACAGAGAGGGAGGGGAGAGGGACAGAGAGAGGGAGGGGGAGAGGGACAGAGAGAGGGGGGAGAGTGACCAGAGAGAGAGGGGGGGGGACAGAGAGAGAGAGAGAGAGAGAGAGAGGGGGACCAGAGAGAGAGGGGGGAGAGGGAGAGATGAAAGGGGGAGAGGGACAGAGAGAGAGGGACAGACAGGAGTGGGAAGAGAGAGAGGAAAGGGGGGAGAGGGACAGAGAGAGAGAGGGGGAGAGGGATAGAGAGAGAGTGGGGTGAGAACAAAAAAAAATCCCAATCTTTTGTGAAATGAGTGTGGAAACAGTGAGGAGAGATGCAGAATAGCTGTGAAGGTACCCACACTGGGGTGGTGTAGAACTCCTACAGGTGAAGGTGTGTGTAACTCCTACAGGTGAAGGTGTGTATAACTCCTACAGTAACTCCTACAGGTGAAGGTGTGTATAACTCCTACAGGTGAAGGTGTGTGTAACTCCTACAGGTGAAGGTGTGTATAACTCCTACAGGTGAAGGTGTGTATAACTCCTACAGGTGAAGGTGTGTATAACTCCTACAGGTGAAGGTGTGTATAACTCCTACAGGTGAAGGTGTGTGTAACTCCTACAGGTGAAGGTGTGTATAACTCCTACAGTAACTCCTACAGGTGAAGGTGTGTATAACTCCTACAGGTGAAGGGTGTGTGTTAACTCCTACAGGTGAAGGTGTGTATAACTCCTACAGGTGAAGGTGTGTATAACTCCTACAGGTGAAGGTGTGTATAACTCCTACAGGTGAAGGTGTGTATAACTCCTACAGGTGAAGGTGTGTGTAACTCCTACAGGTGAAGGTGTGTGTAACTCCTACAGGTGAAGGTGTGTGTAACTCCTACAGGTGATGGTGTGTGTAACTCCTACAGGTGAAGGTGTGTGTAACTCCTACAGGTGAAGGTGTGTGTAACTCCTACAGGTGAAGGTGTGTGTAACTCCTACAGGTGAAGGTACCCTCTAGACCAACCACAAGCAGTAAATTGAATTTATTTGGGTAAAAAAATTGAGCACTTTAAAATATGAATGAAAACATTTATTTCCAAAGTGGTAAAAACAAATCGTGTCTAAGGTTACCTCTCATCCCTCCTTCATCGGGCCGGGGTAGAGGAGGGGGATGAAGAGGGGGGAGAGGAGGGGAAGGAGCAGAAGAGAGTCCCCTCCCTCTCCACAGTCGTCCTGACTGTCTCCTCTCTCTCCCTCCTCCTCCTCCTCCTCCTCCTCTTCTCCGCGTCCTCCTTCGTTCTCCCTGATTACCGCCCACCCTGGCGGTCACCAAGGCAGCGGCGGCTGCTTCGGCAGCTGCGATCATTGCGGTCCCGTTCTCCCCAGGTACAGGTGCCGGTCTGAGAGTAAACTCTTTAAAGTTGTCCTGGGCCTTGATAGAGTGGAGGATGGAGGAGAACGGCTGCTTACACAGCGGACACTCCACCTAGAGATAGATCACAAATAACATTCTTTATTCATCCCAGAGGGCAAATTGGTTTGTCAATCATTTCAGCAATCAAAAAGCAACTCAGAGCAGTGATATTGTAAATACACAACGTCTAGCCTAGTGCTTCTTCTGTGTACAAAAAAAGTAGTGCACTACATAGGGAATAGGGTTCTATTTCGGACACTTGACTCCTACCTTGTTGTTGCTCCACTCCTGTATGCATCGGAAGCAGAAGCGGTGGAGGCACCTGTTCATGAAGAAACGGGTGAAACGGGTGACATCCTAAACTTCACAATATTGCTGCTGGGCTAAAAAGAATATACTACCAAAATACACACATTTTGAATTCACAGGAAGTCTTCGTCGGGTGAAGTCTGCTGAAGTCAGAACTTACATTTGGGAACAGCCTGTCATTCCTTTACCTGGGCCCTAGTTCTGGACTGTCCAGTTGTGTGTTCTGGTGCAGCTAAGAAGGATATCGGCTAATTGCAGTTGGTCCAGAACAGAGCAGCACGTACGGATCGCACTTAGAAGTACACGGACGGCGAATGTCAATGACATGCACGTCAATCTCTCCTGGCTCAAAGTTGAGGAGAGATTGACTGCATCACTATTGGGGTCTTTGAGGGAGGTATTGATGTGTTGAAGTTACCGAACGGTCTGTTCAAGCAGTTGGCACACAGTTCGGACACTCATCGGTACAACACAAGACATGCAACCAGAGGTCTCTTCCCAGTCCCCAGGTCCAGAACAGAGGCTGGGAAACACACAGTATTAAATAGAGCCATGACTACATGGAACTCTCTGCCACCCCAGGTAACTCAAACTAGCAATAAAAATAGATTTTAAAAAACAGATAACAGAGCACCTTTCGGCACGACAGGGACTGTGAAGAGACACACATATATTTCTATGCATTGTATTATGTATGTGATACGACTGTGATACGACTGTGATACGTGGTTGTGATACGTGGTTGTGATACGACTGTGATACGACTGTGATACGTGGTTGTGATACGACTGTGATATGTGGTTGTGATACGTGGTTGTGATACGACTGTGATACGTGGTTGTGATACGACTGTGATACGTGGTTGTGATACGACTGTGATTACGTGGTTGTGATACGACTGTGATAGTGGCTGTGATACGTGGTGTGATACGACTGTGATACGTGGTTGTGATACGTGGTTGTGATACGACTGTGATACGTGGTTGTGATACGACTGTGATACGTGGCTGTGATACGTGGTTGTGATACGACGGTGATACGTGGTTGTGATACGTGGTTGTGATACGAACTGTGATACGTGGTTGTGATACGACTGTGATACGTGTGTGGATACGTGGTGGATACGTGGTTGTGATACGTGGTTGTGATACGACTGTGATACGTGGTTGTGATACGACTGTGATACGTGGTTGTGATACGACTGTGATACGTGGTTGTGATACGACTGTGATACGTGGTTGTGATACGACTGTGATACGACTGTGATACGTGGCTGTGATACGTGGTTGTGATACGACTGTGATACGTGGTTGTGATACGTGGTTGTGATACGACTGTGATACGTGGTTGTGATACGACTGTGATACGTGGCTGTGATACGTGGTTGTGATACGACTGTGATACGTGGTTGTGATACGTGGTTGTGATACGACTGTGATACGTGGTTGTGATACGACTGTGATACGTGGTTGTGATACGTGGTTGTGATACGTGGTTGTGATACGACTGTGATACGTGGTTGTGATACGTGGTTGTGATACGACTGTGATACGTGGTTGTGATACGTGGTTGTGATACGTGGTTGTGATACGTGGTTGCGATACGACTGTGATACGTGGTTGTGATACGTGGTTGTGATACGACTGTGATACGTGGTTGTGATACGACTGCGATACGTGGTTGTGATACGTGGTTGTGATACGTGGTTGTGATACGACTGTGATACGTGGTTGTGATACGTGGTTGCGATACGACTGTGATACGTGGTTGTGATACGTGGTTGTGATACGACTGTGATACGTGGTTGTGATACGTGGTTGCGATACGACTGTGATACGTGGTTGTGATACGTGGTTGTGATACGACTGTGATACGTGGTGGTGATACGACTGTGATACGTGGTTGTGATACGTGGTTGTGATACGACTGTGATACGTGGTTGTGATACGACTGTGATACGTGGTTGTGATACGTGGTTGTGATACGTGGTTGTGATACGACTGTGATACGTGGTTGTGATACGTGGTTGTGATACGACTGTGATACGTGGTTGTGATATGTGGTTGCGATACGACTGTGATACGTGGTTGTGATACGACTGTGATACGTGGTTGTGATACGACTGTGATACGTGGTTGTGATACGTGGTTGTGATACGACTGTGATACGTGGTTGTGATACGACTGTGATACGTGGTTGTGATACGTGGTTGTGATACGTGGTTGTGATACGACTGTGATACGTGGTTGTGATACGTGGTTGTGATACGACTGTGATACGTGGTTGTGATACGTGGTTGCGATACGACTGTGATACGTGGTTGTGATACGTGGTTGCGATACGACTGTGATACGTGGTTGTGATACGTGGTTGTGATACGACTGTGATACGTGGTTGTGATACGTGGTTGTGATACGTGGTTGTGATACGTGGTTGTGATACGACTGTGATACGTGGTTGTGATACGACTGTGATACGTGGTTGTGATACGACTGTGATACGTGGTTGTGATACGACTGTGATATGTGGTTGTGATACGACTGTGATACGTGGTTGTGATACGTGGTTGTGATACGTGGTTGTGATACGTGGTTGTGATACGTGGTTGTGATACGACTGTGATACGTGGTTGCGATACGACTGTGATACGTGGTTGTGAAACGTGGTTGTGATACGACTGTGATACGTGGTTGTGATACGACTGTGATACGTGGTTGTGATACGTGGTTGTGATACGTGGTTGTGATACGTGGTTGTGATACGACTGTGATACGTGGTTGTGATACGTGGTTGTGATACGTGGTTGTGATACGACTGTGATACGTGGTTGTGATACGACTGTGATACGTGGTTGTGATACGTGGTTGTGATACGTGGTTGTGATACGTGGTTGTGATACGTGGTTGTGATAAGACTGTGATACGTGGCTGTGATACGACTGTGATACGTGGTTGTGATACGACTGTGATACGACTGTGATACGTGGTGGTGATACGTGGTTGTGATACGACTGTGATACGTGGTGGTGATACGTGGTTGTGATACGACTGTGATACGTGGTTGTGATACGACTGTGATACGTGGTTGTGATACATGGTTGTGATACGTGGTGGTGATACGTGGTTGTGATACGACTGTGATACGTGGTTGTGATACGACTGTGATACGTGGTTGTGATACGTGGTTGTGATACGTGGTTGTGATACGTGGTTGTGATACGACTGTGATACGTGGCTGTGATACGTGGTTGTGATACGACTGTGATACGTGGTTGTGATACGTGGTTGTGATACGACTGTGATACGTGGTTGTGATACGTGGTTGTGATACGTGGTTGTGATACGACTGTGATACGTGGTTGTAATACGTGTTTGTGATACGTGGTTGTGATACGTGGTTGTCTCGCTGCACTAGCTGTGGGTCTCTCTGGATGGGAGCGTCTGCTGAATGTCTAAATTGTCATGTAAATGTATATTATTATTTGTTGTGTAGTTTCCTGTTTGGATCCCAGGAAGAGTAGCCTTTGCAGCAGATAATCGGGGAGCCTAATACCTGTCCAGGTAAGACATGTTGTTGAAGCGGTCCAGACAGATTGGGCATTTAGAGTCAGGAGACGCCTCGGCCGAAACCGACTGAGAGGAGGTCTTAGAGGTCTCTTCCTGTTCCTGACCTCCTGCACCTCCGCTCTCCTTCCGCCGGACACGCAGTTTCATCTTAGTAGGGGCCATCTTCTAGAGAGAGGGGAAAGGTGTCAGTCAGTCGATACACCTCCCCAATACATCAGTTGAACAAAAATTGCTACAGTGTATGTTTGAGATGAATGTAGGTTAGCCTACTATGGGGATGTGAATCAACAAACATGTTATCTAGGCCCTAGACTAGATCACTGGTAACTCTCAGTTACATTACACACAAGAGTCATTGGATGAAGGCGTCTTCTGTACCGGGAGTTTTGTTAAGAGCTGCAACGCTTGGTCTGAACATTAACAGGCATCGCTTGGGGTTATGGTTTTGGAAGCATAAGGACCTTATCAGCGAATAATAATTTTCAAAAAAACAAAAACGTTCAATTGATACACACGTTTATAGTGTTAAGGTTCCCACACGGCCATATTCCCATGTTACAGCGCTTGTTTATGGAAAACAGAAGACCCACCTGTGCCAATTAACCACCTGCGTCTCCGAACACCCGTGTGTAAAACGGAAGACGGGACGCCAAACGTGTTGTCACTGAAAAATACTGTCGGCTGCAACTGTGTTAAAGCCGGTTAAAACAGTGTACAGTAAATGGAGTTGCGTGGTCAATCCGTTGTCTGCATTGGCAGGGCGGCATTTCCGGCCTCTGCCGAAGTCAGGGCATTCATGCTTCGCAGAGCTGTTGTGAAGGAAGGTATAAAGGAAATGAGTGTTTATACACGACCTCCCGCCCTCACCTCCCGTTAACTAGTCATGTCAATGCGGAGCTCTACAGCGCCCTCACCTCCCGTTAACTAGTCGTGTCAATGCGGAGCTCTACAGCGCCCTCACCTACCGTTAACTAGTCGTGTCAATGCGGAGCTCTACAGCGCCCTCACCTCCCGTTAACTAGTCATGTCAATGCGGAGCTCTACAGCGCCCTCACCTACCGTTAACTAGTCATGTCAATGCGGAGCTCTACAGCGCCCTCACCTACCGTTAACTAGTCGTGTCAATGCGGAGCTCTACAGCGCCCTCACCTACCGTTAACTAGTCGTGTCAATGCGGAGCTCTACAGCGCCCTCACCTCCCGTTAACTAGTCGTGTCAATGCGGAGCTCTACAGCGCCCTCACCTACCGTTAACTAGTCGTGTCAATGCGGAGCTCTACAGCGCCCTCACCTCCCGTTAACTAGTCGTGTCAATGCGGAGCTCTACAGCGCCCTCACCTCCCGTTAACTAGTCGTGTCAATGCGGAGCTCTACAGCGCCCTCACCTCCCGTTAACTAGTCGTGTCAATGCGGAGCTCTACAGCGCCCTCACCTCCCGTTAACTAGTCGTGTCAATGCGGAGCTCTACAGCGCCCTCACCTACCGTTAACTAGTCGTGTCAATGCGGAGCTCTACAGCGCCCTCACCTCCCGTTAACTAGTCGTGTCAATGCGGAGCTCTACAGCGCCCTCACCTCCCGTTAACTAGTCGTGTCAATGCGGAGCTCTACAGCGCCCTCACCTCCCGTTAACTAGTCGTGTCAATGCGGAGCTCTACAGCGCCCTCACCTCCCGTTAACTAGTCGTGTCAATGCGGAGCTCTACAGCGCCCTCACCTACCGTTAACTAGTCGTGTCAATGCGGAGCTCTACAGCGCCCTCACCTACCGTTAACTAGTCATGTCAATGCGGAGCTCTACAGCGCCCTCACCTACCGTTAACTAGTCGTGTCAATGCGGAGCTCTACAGCGCCCTCACCTACCGTTAACTAGTCGTGTCAATGCGGAGCTCTACAGCGCCCTCACCTACCGTTAACTAGTCGTGTCAATGCGGAGCTCTACAGCGCCCTCACCTACCGTTAACTAGTCGTGTCAATGCGGAGCTCTACAGCGCCCTCACCTACCGTTAACTAGTCATGTCAATGCGGAGCTCTACAGCGCCCTCACCTACCGTTAACTAGTCGTGTCAATGCGGAGCTCTACAGCGCCCTCACCTACCGTTAACTAGTCGTGTCAATGCGGAGCTCTACAGCGCCCTCACCTACCGTTAACTAGTCATGTCAATGCGGAGCTCTACAGCGCCCTCACCTCCCGTTAACTAGTCGTGTCAATGCGGAGCTCTACAGCGCCCTCACCTACCGTTAACTAGTCGTGTCAATGCGGAGCTCTACAGCGCCCTCACCTCCCGTTAACTAGTCGTGTCAATGCGGAGCTCTACAGCGCCCTCACCTACCGTTAACTAGTCGTGTCAATGCGGAGCTCTACAGCGCCCTCACCTACCGTTAACTAGTCGTGTCAATGCGGAGCTCTACAGCGCCCTCACCTCCCGTTAACTAGTCGTGTCAATGCGGAGCTCTACAGCGCCCTCACCTCCCGTTAACTAGTCATGTCAATGCGGAGCTCTACAGCGCCCTCACCTCCCGTTAACTAGTCGTGCCAATGCGGAGCTCTACAGCGCCCTCACCTCCCGTTAACTAGTCGTGCCAATGCGGAGCTCTACAGCGCCCTCCGCGTTGTTACAACATTTGAGAGGCGCACAGCTATGCGGAACAGAGCTCCATTTGGCCTCTGTGTGCCTCCGGAGTATCACACCATCCATACGGCGCCTCCGACCACATTTTCAGACCAAGCATAAATTGTCTGTGTGGTTTTAGCGACCAGATCTAGCATATATATATATATACTTCACAGCTGGCTTTGGTAACGACGTGCTGCTTCCGCGTCTGTCCCCACCTCGTCTCCAGCTAGCTAGCTAGCTAGCGTAGCGTGCTAACCTGAATACTAACCATCCGTGCCCTGGGTTTATTGTATCAACAATCGCAGTCACTCACTACCTATAAAGATAGCTAGCTAAGTAGTTGCATCACTAGCTAGCACTAATAATGATAATCAAACGATACCAAATAAGAGGTTGGTAGCTAGCTAGTTTGTCAGCAGACGGGCTAGCCGAGTAGCTAGTTCATGCGCTAGCTAGCTAACACAGTTAGCCAACGTCTCTCTTCCTACCTGACAACTGGAATCCCTGCAGAGCTCCTCCGGTTCACTTTCAAAACATCACAACACCGACCACCGAATCCGTTAGTGTCGTTCATTAGCTAGCTATCTGACGACATTACGGCGAATTCAGACCTAAAGAAAGGTATAAATTGTAACATTAATGGTAGGATGTCGGCGAACTAGCAAGCTTGGTGTTGTGAATCAGAAAGCAGAGCGCAAGTCGGAAACAAAGAGGATTTCGGGAAAAAACATTTTTTTTTTTTTTTTTTTTAAATTATCTCTCACCTTTATTTAACCAGGTAAGCCAGTTGAGAACAAGTTCTCATTTACAACTGCGACCTGGCCAAGATAAAGCAAAGCAGTGCGATAAAAACAACAACAACACAGAGTTACATATGGGGTAAAAAAAACGTACAGTCAAAAATACAACAGAGAATCTATATACAGTGTGTGCAAATGTAGCAAGTTATGGAGGTAAGGTAATAAATAGGCCATAGTGCAAAATAATTACAATTTAGTATTAACACTGGAATGATAGATGTGCAAGAGATGATGTGCAAATAGAGATACTGGGGTGCAAATGAGCAAAATAAATAACAATATGGGGATGAGGTAGTTGGGCGGGCTAATTTCAGATGGGCTGTGTACAGGTGCAGTGATCAGCTCTGACAACTGATGCTTAAAGTTAGTGAGGGAGATAAGAGTCTCCAGCTTCAGAGATTTTTGCAGTTTGTTCCAGTCATTGGCAGCAGAGAACTGGAAGGAATGGTGGCCAAAGGAGGTGTTGGCTTTGGGGATGACCAGTGAGATATACCTGCTGGAGCGCAGACTACAGGTGGGTGTTGCTATGGTGGCCAATGAGCTAAGATAAGGCGGGGATTTGCCTAGCAGTGATTTATAGATGACCTGGAGCCAGTGGGTTTGGCGACGAATATGTAGTGATGGCCAGCCAACGAGAGCGTACAGGTCACAATGGTGGGTAGTATATGGGGCTTTGGTGACAAAACGGATGGCACTGTGATAGACTACATCCAATTTGCTGAGTAGAGTGTTGGAGGCTATTTTGTAAATGACATCGCCGAAGTCAAGGATCGGTAGGATAGTCCGTTTTACGAGGGCATGTTTGGCAGCATGAGTGAAGGAGGCTTTGTTGCGAAATAGGAAGCCGATTCTAGATCTAACTTTTGATTGGAGATGCTTAATGTGAGTCTGGAAGGAGAGTTTACAGTCTAACCAGACATCTAGGTATTTGTAGTTGTCCACATATTCCAAGTCAGACCCGCCGAGAGTAGTGATTCTAGTCGGGTGGGCGGGTGCAAGCAGCGTTCGATTGAAGAGCATGCATTTAGTTTTACTAGCGTTTAAGAGCAGTTGGAGGCTACGGAAGGAGTGTTGTATGGCATTGAAGCTCGTTTGGAGGTTTGTTAACACAGTGTCCAATTTAAGGGCCAGATGTATACAAAATGGTGTCGTCTGCGTAGAGGTGGATCTGAGAGTCACCAGCAGCAAGAGCGACATCATTGATATACAAAGAGAATAGAGTCGGCCCGAGAATTGAACCCTGTGGCACCCCCATAGAGACTGCCAGAGGTCCAGACAACAGGCCCTCCGATTTGACACATTGAACTCTATCTAAGAAGTAGTTGGTGAACCAGGCGAGGCAGTCATTTGAGAAACCAAGGCTATTTAGTCTGCCAATAAAAATACAGTGATTGACAGAGTCGAAAGCCTTGGCCTGGTAGATGAAGACGGCTGCACAGTACTGTCTTTTATCGATCGCGGTTATAATATCGTTTAGGACCTTGAGCGTGGCTGAGGTGCACCCATGACCAGCTCGGAAACCAGATTGCATAGCGGAGAAGGTACGGTGGGATTCGAAATGGTCGGTGATCTGTTTGTTAACTTGGCTTTCAAATACTTTCGAAAAGGCAGGGCAGGATGGATATAGGTCTGTAACAGTTTGGATCTAGAGTGTTACCCCCTTTGAAGAGGGGGATGACCGCAGCAGCTTTCCAATCTCTGGGGATCTCAGACGATACGAAAGAGAGGTTGAACAGGCTAGTAATAGGA